AGAATTGCGTTCCTAACTGAAGCCTGAGGGGTATGGGTTATCTGTGGCAGCTCACGTTCAGGCCCCATCAGATGCACGGGGAGGTCTGGATGACTTATCAGGTCCCTTCCAGACCTATGGTTTTAAGAGAGGCAGATAAATATCCCATGGGGCCTTGTTACTTTTTAAATTGATAACTTGCTTCTGCTCTGTGGGTCTAATACATTAATTATATCTGCAGAGAGCCTTCCATCTATGGATCCCAAGGTGATCTGCCTACAGCAAAAAAGGCACCGTTCCATTTGGGCCAGCAGAAACACTGAGGCACGGAGCTGCAAAGAGAAATCTCCGAGGTTACGCAGTGCATCATCTGAGAAGGTCTGAAGAGAGACACCACATGGTTCTAACTTTTAGCCAATTAATTTTGGGGGTTTGTCTTTCCTCTTAAGTTTCTGAAAGCTTCACAAAGGGTTTTAAATTTCTCAGATGGCTCTCACAGTGATTTGTTTTAATTTGGAAAATAAATATAGAACTGAGGATTTTTGAAGTGATGGGGGAATGGTTATTTGTTCTGAAGGGATGTGGCCAAAGTGACTTCATTTAACGTTACAGCTCAGGATTCTATGATGGGGCCCAAAATCCAAAATGATGAGCCCAGTGCCATCAAAGCGCAACTTGCCTTCATAGCTCCATGAATGTGCACCTCTCTTGAACCCTGGATGGAACATTGAGGAAGCCAATTTCCCTCTGAATGCAAGATGGTGAGCCATCAGATTATGAGACGACTGGTCTGAACTCAAAGCATGGTGACCGGTGCCTTCCACAGGGACTCCACAGTTCCCCAAGTCCCTGGAGCAAATTACTTTGCCCGAGAGCATCAGTTCCACAGTCTGAAACACTGTTAAATTCTGAAGCAAATAAGCCGGTGCCTGAGGGTTCTCTGAGCCCCTTGGAAGTCATCATTACATTAATAAGATTGAGCTTAGTGCATTTCTGACACTCATTATGGGTAATTTTGAAAACTCTTGTGAAGTAAGCCAGAAAGACTTTTGGACTCTGTGGGAGAAGGCGAGGGTAGGATGTTTCGAGAGAACAGCATCGAAACATGTATATTATCTAGGGTGAAACAGATCACCAGCCCAGGTTGGATGCATTAGACAAGTGCTCGGGCCTGGTGCACTGGGAAGACCCAGAGGGAGCGGGCAGAGAGGGAGGTGGGAGGGGGGATCGGGATGGGGAATACATGTAAAACCATGGCTGATTCATGTCAATGTATGACAAAACCCACTACAATGTTGTAAAGTGATTGGCCTCCAACTAATAAAAATAAAGGAAATAAAAGAAAGAAAACTGTTGGACCCAAGCCTTACCCAATCCCTGTCCTCACCCTTCCATCCTTCAGGATACAGGTAGCACCCCCCAGACTTTTTCTTTCAGTCCAAACTTCCAAACACATCAGAACAGCCCAGCAACACTGTGACTAAGAACAAGGTAACCAGAGTGACATCAGCAAGAAAGATGCTCACATGTACCAAATTAGGGACAATTGGAATTAAAGGCTTTTGCTTAGACCTGTAAGGGCATGGCCTATGTCCTCCTGGCCTGACAGCAGCCTCTGTCTCAGTGCCTCCAGTGCAGACTCGCAGAACCAGCATCTCAGAGGTGAGCAGGATCCCAGCCAAAGCCTCATGCCTTCCAGCTCCTTCCATCTTTCTCCACGCCCCTCCCTTGGTCTGTGTGTACATAATTGTGCCTATAATTATAGACATACATACCAACTTTCCGCTATTGTACTTACAATGCTATGTCTGTGTTTGGGGTGTTATTAATACAGCTGGTGAAACCAAAGGCAGTAGTTTTATGCTTGTGGTTTCTGAAGAAATATATGTGAAGCAATTTGTATAATCTGAGGGAGCACATGAGCTGGCTATGGGCTCTAACAGGTGGAAGAGCTCTTTGCTTTGTGGTTACACAGTAAATATGCATAAGGTTTCCCCTGTAGGAAAATCATAGGTTCCATTTTTTATGGCATGTGGAGTTGGATAAGGATTTGGGGATGTGCTGTGTACAACGTGGCCTGTGTAACTGGGCTGCATTTTGTCTGGAGGATCCTTGCAACATCCCCAGCGACAGGGTAATGCCTTTCTCATCCGCAGCCTCACTGTTACCTGTTGAATGGAAAGGGCCTAAGAAGAGGCTGCTTCCAGGCCGTGGGAGGTTGGAAAAGAGCTCTTCAGTCAGTCCCCCCTCACTTCCTAGCCTCAAGGAAGTCTTCCCCCGCTAGGCTCAGGCCTTGCCTCAGCCCAGTCTGGGTTCAAACTGTAGACAGTGTTTCGCAAGGGACTAGCCCAGCCATGCCACCACCCTGAGCGCTCATTAATCTTGTTTTCCTCCAACTCCCCCAACTCCCTGGCCTTTGGTATACAGCACTGGTGTTGACAGAGACCCGGGAATTGAAATCAAGTCCCCACATTTCTGCCCCAAACATCCCCATCCCCTCTTGCACACCCCGTGCACTGGGTCCCATCCGCAGCCCCTGCCCACTGCCCCACACAGCAGAGCCCGCTGCCTCCTCCACCTCTGATGGGCTCTGCTCACAGGTCTTGCTGGCTCAATTCTGCTTCTGAGTCCACTCAGCACCAGCGTGCCTGGCACGGTGCCCACCCTCCAGCGGCTACAAAGGGAAACTGGTAGTGTCCTGGGTCGACAAAACCTCTCCCCACACTGCCCCCCGGTCCCCTCCTCACCCCACCTCCCCTTCATGGCATCAAATCAAACTGCAGCAGACTTGACAAATCTATTTGGCACGGTTCACTCAACTATTTCAACCCGAACAGCCAGAGAGCTGTGCTGACACACCACGAGCAGTGCGGAATCTGCACATTAAACACAGACGTCTGGGAGCAGATCCGATAATGAAGGAGCCTCAGATATCAGCCACGGGCTCGAGGACCCGGCGGTCTCCTCCCTCGCCCGCCACACCCGAGGGGGGACAAGGGCGCACAGCCAGGGGGCAGTGCTTGACTGGCAGCCTTTCCATTCTTCTGCCCCCTTCTAGGTACCAAGAAGGAAATTACCCCGTGGTTTCTAGGGAAAGAAATTTAGCCATGGGAGAGAAGAGGAGGCAAAGAGAAGAGAGAGAGAGAAAAAAAATAAAAGAGATGAGAATGTATCTGGTATGAAAAAGTGGAGAAGAATGGTTCTAAAGGAGTCCAGAAAGCTACATTTAATTCTCAGGAATATCTTCCTTGCAGAACCAATACCAGGGATAAAGCCGGGGAGGACAGCATTCTATCAAAATGTGCAGTGCTAAGGTATTTCCAAAAGCAGATTTCCTACAAATGGTGTTTTAAATAGCATCCCAGTCCATCTGCGTGCTTTTAAAATCGGCTTATGCTACAGTATCCCTCTGGCCAGTGCTGCTTAGTCATTGAGCCTGGACAGGGAGGTGGTTAGGGGAACCTCTTCCTCCTCCCCAGTACCCACCCCAAGTCAGCTGCTGGGCCTTGCCTGCCTGGCTGAATTTCTGGGTTCTAGCAGTTTCTTATGGAAAAGGGAGGGTGGAGAGAGAGGGCATGAGAAGGAACAGGCTGGGATGAGGACTTTGTCCACAGAGCTCCCAGCACCCCATGCTGACTCTGGCTTGCTGTGTCCAAGTCCCATTTAGTAACTCTCCCTGAAACAAAAGCAGGCAATGAGAAACCAGACCTGCTCAACACATCAAAATGCGGAAGTCTTTCAATTGCTAAGTCTCTCACTTTCTTTATCTGTGAAATGGGGAGTGTGTGTGTGTGTGTGTGTGTGTGTGTGTGTGAGAGAGAGAGAGAGAGAGAGAGAAAGAGCGAGACAGAGAGAGAGAGAGACCTGATAATATCTAGAAGCCATGATTTCAGATGAATGGTGCCATGTTACTATGGCGATCTTAATTTTTAAAAATCCACTCCTTTAAAAACTCACATTTCCCGAGTGAAGCAGTGCCAACATTATAGTTTGGGGTTTTCTGGGCCCAAGGTTTCCTGCTACAACAGCAAGAGCAAATTGCCTTGGGAGAGTGACAGGCTAAGGGCACGTTGTTTGGAGAAGACCTCCGGCCTCTCAAGGTTGGGCCACCTGTGTAACCTTTTGATAACTCACAATCTGACACAGAGAGAGACACTCTCCCTCACTCCCCAATTCCATTCAGAGAAGGATGAGCGTTCCCCTTTGAGACCCAAGAGTCAGCCCACAAGCAACAGTGCTCCCTCCCTGCCCAGGTGAGACCACTGGCCATTTCCAGTGAGCCTTTGCTCGCGCTGAGTCTACCTTATAACCAGTATGCACATCGCCAGCGCCAGCTGCAGACCTGTTCACTGCCAGAATGCCACGTGTTGTAAGAAAGCTGAGACCAGACATTCATCTATATATACAACAAAAGCCTCACATCACCCACGAGGATATGCCTGTGGGAGCCCCGGACGCTGAAGGCACCAGCCCTGCAGATTCAACGCCTTACTGCCAAGCATGACTGCCGGTTCAGATCTCATCCCCGACAAACCGAATTTCTCCTCATTATCTATTGTCCTCTTTCTCCTTCGGGACATTGTGATTCCCTCTTAGGGTCTGTGCCCTTTTATTTCCAGACCTCAGTAAGTCCCCGAACTGCAGTTTCATGGGGTTTTGGGACTGTTAACGCAGCATGTGGAAGGGACTCAGGCCATCAACGCTCAAAGAATCCTGCACAGGGAGACATGGGCCAGGAACACATGCTCTCCTTCATTTGTAGTCAGAGAGCACGCTGCAAGCTCGCTCTCTCTCTGCTGTAAGATGCGACAGCAGCCAGGCTGTCGGAGAAAACGGAGTCTTCCAATCACTTTAGCATAAGAAAGAGTATTTTCAGGGCCAGTGTCTCCGGGGCCTCCATCAGTTACTGGAGCCTTGGGGAGCAAGGCTGCCTTGTCCGTATGGGGTGGGTTTGCAGTCCCCCTTGACCCACCCCTCCTGCTCCGGCCCTGCGTGCCCCTGTGGTGGGGCCACGGGCTTACCTTGTGATTCTTGCCGTGCCGGTACACCATCCAGTCCTCACCATTGGTGCTCACTTCCAGCTTGTAGGATTTGACATAATAGCCATTCTGAGTTTCCCTGGAAATCGCTCCCTGCGTTGCAATGGCTGTGAGCACAGTTAGAAAGCGTAGGTCCACCTGGAGAAGAAAGGCAAAGAAGGATGGGTGTCTTGACTCCCCACACAAGGCAGCATCTGGGCTTTCCTTCACAGGACACCACTGCAATACTTGACTCCCAACCCGCGTCTGTGATTCACTCACAGGTATTGGTGGTCAGTATCTGTCTGCATCCACTAGACAGTTAAATGCGACATATTCAAACTGCAATGGACACCTCTGAAATTGTAGCTTGTTTTTATTTCCTTTTTCTTTCTTTTTTTTTGCAAATCTAAACAGACAGGATGACTGTTTATCTTAAAGGAATCATTGAACATCTAGAACTACAACCCCTTTTTAGTTAACCACGACCTGCCTTGGGTAGTGAAAATGGATGCTGTTTTACAGGAACAGTGGCTAAATCCAATCCACTCCACTCTGATCCAGCCCAGTTCAATCCAATTCACTTACGAGGCCCTAGTTGCCAAAGTCTCAGCTCAGAGCTATTTCTCCTCCCCTCAGTCCCTCAGTCCATTGTGTATTTAGTCCTTGGGTCACCAAGGGGTCAGAGGGCATGTAGAGTCTGCCCAAGCAATTAGGCTTATGGACCAAGTCCTGACCTTCCGTCCGACAAGGAGGACGGCCAACATTTTGAGCCACCTTCGCTTCCACAACACCAAACCCATCTGGAAATTGCTAGGTGTCATTCCTTTGCAGGCCACTGTGTTTCTTAACAGCAATCTCCCTGTGATGAAAATTGAGCCAGTTCGCCCTGGTAAAATTTGATTCAGTAAGCGTTTATTAGGTACTTACTATGTGCTCAGCATGATTAAGCATTCTAAAGAAGGACATAGTGCTGTATATGTGTATGATAAACAAGTGGAGAGCAATAGGAGAGAGTATACGATTAGGACTCAAAAACAAGGACTACAGTCAACGGAATGCTGGCTGTAAGAACTTTCTGGAAGCTTTGCTAGATGAGAAGGATCATTGGCGAGGAAGAGAAGAGAGCGACAGATGGCCTTAGGGTTGGGCTGTTAGAGCTCATTCTGTGGAATGCCCTGGAAGTTTCTAAGGGGCCTTTCTCCCTTTTCTGTCCTAAGTGATGTCCTTCTCAGAGCAGAGGCTGCTGTGTCGCATCAGAGGTAGGACAGGCTTGTCAGCAGGTCACAAGGCTGCCTGCCATGTGTCATGAAAGCGGTCCTTGCTCTAGCGTGGAACTAGTAGCTTGCCTCCCCTGGGGACCAGTGCTGGACCGGTGTGGAGAGCAAGGCAGGGTTGCTCCACAAAAGCTGAAAGTCTTATTCAGAAGGAAAGCAAACAATAGTCTGAAAAAATGCTGCAGGGCATCCATGCGATTGGAATTTCATTCCTGGTAGTGATAATTTCCCACGTGGTCTCCTGATGGCTATCGGCAAAACCTTCCTGGCAGGGCTCCCTCCAAACAGCAGAGGTCACAAAAGGTTGCCATGCTTCTCAGCCAGCCTGCCCTTAAGAAAAATGCCCCCTATGTCCTGATGCCTCCCTCTGCCAAGAATGAGGATGTTCTGGAACTGTTTATAGAAGTTGCTTGGATATCTACAGTGAAAGGACAAACACCCTCCCAGCCCAGCAAGTCCACCAGGGCCTGGTCATCTTCACAAGGGCAGGGCAGGGTCCATTTTATCCTGGCGCTTAGCACAGCGCCTGGCACTGCCTGTTTGCGACTAGAAAAAGATGGATGGATGAGAGGAGTTCTAAATTATGTTATACTTATTTTCTTCGTGTCCTTTGTCGACTCTAGTGAAGGAGCCAGTCGCCTCACCCACCGAAGCGCACACACATTCTGCACAGCCTCTGAGTCAGTACCTGGAGATACTCCTTGCTGGAGTCCAAGTTGGGTGTCCAGCCATTGTCGTCACCATGGAGACGGCTTTGCTGAGGTGTCCACCTCCCATCAGAGTACGTAGATGAGGCACTGATCTGTTCATCAGCAATCCGGCCAGACTCCATTCCCAGCGGGACATTGCACTGAAAGTCTGGCGGGTAGAGACGGTCAAGGGCAAAAGTCAGGTCTCTCAGCCTTAAACCCCCGAGACCCCCAAAACGCTGCTCCCTTCAAGGGATGCGTCCTTTGAGGCACTCCTTCATCTTAAAGACCTAATTCTACACTCACATTTTACAAACAACTCTACCAAGTCACAGAGCTTGACAGCCCCTCCTGGTCTGAAAGGAACTAAATTTTCCCTAAAAGAAATCGGGCTGTGGATAAATAAGAATCATCATAGAAATTAAAAATACAATCTAAAGCACAAGAACTGTTAGTGCTGCAGGCTATGGATGCTCACAAGCTCCAGATGAACCAGTATTGAAAGAACAGGTAAACGTGTGATAGACTTGGGTGGGCTGCTACATCGTGGGAAGCCTGCTTTATTAATAAACACCCAGGAGGCACTTTTGCTTCTTTCTTTCTTTCACTCAACTGTCTCATGAGTTCTGGCACCGAAGACAGACATTGCAAAGCAATAAATGCCTGTCTTTGGGAGTCCTCTCTGTGAGTACATGCGTGTCACTCTATATTAGCCTGCACCACCTGTCTGGACAGCTGGGCTCAGAAGTCACTTCCTCTGGCCTTGCGCTGTCAGTTTAATTGCTGTCCTTCCCATGATCCCACAGACACTGGTCAATATGTGTGTGTGCATGTGTCAGATAAGGACCAGCAATCTCTCTCAGGCATCAAACCTTCTCTGTCGCTCGGCGACCACACTGACCCCCTGCAGAACTCGGTTAACTCACAATACTGTTTTCTTGTCTCTCAACCTTCATGAGTCCTTTGAAGAAAAAACAAAACCCAGAATGAAACCCGTCCCTTGGCCAGGCTGCCGTGCGGTAAACTGTCAATGGCCATGGCAGGATTCGCCCACTCCAATCATCCTGAAAGTGTGCCTCTGGTCATCCAAGTGATCGTTTAGGTTTCTCAGTGAAAATGACAGCACATCTGAAGTCCGCATCCACGAGGAACTGATTTAAAGATACAGCTCAGGGCAAGAGACTGATGGTCTGGATGGCAAGGTCCATGACTGCTGGGGGCTGGATTAGATTTTCTATGCTTTTCACGGTGCCCGTTACATAGTAGAGGCTCAAACATTGTGTTTATTGGCAGAACAAACTGAAAGTCCAGCAGTGTAGAGTGAGAGAAACTCTAGCCAGGCCCAGAGAGATTTCATGTCAAAACATATGTATATAGAGAGAGGTTTAAAATTTCTCCATTTCTGAGACTTCCCTGGCTGTCCAGTGGTTAGGGCTCTGAGCTTCCAATGCAGGGGGCGTGTGTTCAATCCTTGGCTGGGGAACTAGGATCCCACATGCACGGTGCAACCAAAAAAAAAATTGTTCTATTTTTCTGACAATGGTCACTGAGAGTTGGAGAGTGAGGAAAATGACCCCAGACTGAAAGATAAGCACACGCATGTGTGTTAAGTTGCTTCAGTCGTGTCCGACTCTTCGCGACCCCATGGACTGTAGCCCACCAGGCTCCTCTGTCCATGGGACTCTCCAGGCAAGAATACTGGAGTGGGTTGCTAGTCCCTTCTCCAGGGGATCGTCCCAACCCAGGGATCGAATGCACGTCTCTTGCATCTCCTGCAGGTGGATTCTTTACCACAAGCACCATGTAGGAAACCCCCCAAAACAGTACTCGGGGGACTCAATATAGAGATCTTAAGTACTCTCCTTTTCATTCTGAGACTTGAGATGGTCCTGTGACTTCCCCTGGGAATAACTCATTCTTGGTATACATACTTTTTGTTTAAAGAAATGACCACCCAGACTGACATTTATTTTATTTTCATTCATCTCTGCCCAGCAAGAGGCTATAGCTCCCTTCCCTTGAGGTCCGACTGCCCCCCCTCCTTCTTTTGCAGAGATCACCCTCACAGGCCCCATGGGAGGACAGGTCAGAGTTTCCCAGCCAGCCAACTCACTCTCCAGCGGCTCTTGATGGACCAGGTAGTAACGCGCAGAGAAGCCGTCCTTGGCTACCGCCATGTCGGTGTGAAAAGTCAGAGAGAGGATCCCCGTGGCCGAACGGAGTTCAGAAGGTGTTTTGGTCCCACAGTACTTGCCAATCAGGGGTCCAACTGGACAGGAAGGACAAAGAGAGGTCACAGACATGGACATGCCAGACCCCAATCTCCATACATTCTCCCTTCCCATGATTCCAAGTCATTCAACCGAGCATCACTCGGAATGCCTTGGCACAAAATCACCAGAGATACAGTTTCAGAACAATGCCTAATATTTTTTCCCTGCACATTAAAAAGTATTTTCACTGACCTGGCTTCATTCTGTTTTCACAGCCCTGCGGGATGGGCTGGAAAGGTATCATTATAATGCTTGTTCCACAGAAGAAATTGAGGTTTGGAGAGGGTACATGGCTGTTCATTGTGCATACAGCCAGGAAATAGCAGAGCGGAGACTCCAACACATTTCCTGACTAAATCTCATGCTTGTCTGAGGAAATGAAATTGCTTAGACATCAAGTCTCCGTTACAGTGCAAAATACTTAGAATGATGATAGAAGTGAAAGATGAGTTTCCTCGCTGATACTATATACCCAAGACTCATGCTGGTCTCTACAGGAGAAGCACAGGTGCCTCTTGGCCTGGGGGAATGAACTTTTTTTTAACATCTATGACTAGAGTTAGTTGGTTAGTGTTAGTTGCTCAGTTGGGTCTGACTCTTTTGCGACCCCATGGACTGTAGCCTGCCAGGCTTCTCTGTCCATCGAATTCTCCAGGCAAGAATACTGGAGTGGGTTGCCATTCCCTTCTCCAGGGGATCTTCCTGGCCCAGGGATCAAACCTGGGGCTCCCACATTGCAGGCAGATTCTTTACCGTCTGAGCCCCCAGGGAAGCCTGTGACTATATAAATGATAATAAAATTATAGTAATTATAATGATGATGATAGATTTATGCAGATATTAATAAGACACAGAAAGGTTAAGTAACTTGCTCGAGATTGCAGAGCTGCTAAGATCAGAGCCACAGTTCAGTCTGGCCCTAGAGTGCTATTTGGACATAGAGAGTGGTCACTGAGTCACTTTCTATGGAGAGAAGAAACCATGACATATAGGTTTTCTCATCCTCATCCAATATCTACTCAGTCTCCTCCTATGCTTAGTCACTCAGTTGCGTCTGACTCTTTGTGACCCGATGGACTCTAGCCGCCAGGTTCCTCTGTCCATGGGGTTCTCTAGGCAAGAATACTGGAGTGGGTTGCCCTGCCCTCCTCCAGTCTCCTCCTACCCTTCTGCAGAGAAGTATCGCCAAGCGAGGAAACTGCCTTTCTGCAGTTTTTCTGAAGTCATCCTTGGTGAAGGATAAGAGAAAGTCATCATGGGTCACAGATAAACTCTGAGGAGCTTTAACGTCTTTGTTCTCTGTTTTTTATTGCCACTAAAGCAATTAACAGGCAATGAAGCTACTGAGAAAGGCCTGGTGAGGTGCCATCACTCACCATGAGGGATGCCATCCCAGATGTCCAGCCAGTCGTATTTGCAGTCTCCCTCTCCCACCTGCAAAGGGTCATGCTCCAGGTCAAAGGTCAAGAACTGCAGGATGATCTCCATCTTGGGTTTGGCCAGGATGGTGAAAGTGCAGTCCAAGTTGTGTGGGTACTTGTCAGGGAACCCGGGGGACTCGATGGTCCCGTTGGGGCTCGTGAAGTTCTTTGAACAATCTTCAGAGCCTGTAGGTGAAAGAGAAGCAGAACCTTAAGAGAATGGAAGAGGATGCCTGTCTCTGTTGTTGTCTGTCACACGGGTTATTTAAATGTTTGGGCCCAAATTTCCTTACTGGTGAAGTTTTTGTTTCCACTGGAGTGGCCCTTGAAGCAACATACTTTTCACATCCACATTTCAAGCCCTTGAGCCAGACCATCTTTAGGGGAGAAATTAGGGAGGCGTGCAGGCTTGCTCTACAAATTAAGAGTAAGAGCGGCAATTGAGGATTTGGGAGGAGGGGTGGTGTAGAAAGAAGGATGTGTGAGAGACAGAGAGAGAGGGAGAGAGAAAGATGGATTCCCTTGAAAAGAGGAACAGAGTCTTCTTTCTCAGTTACTCAGCTGCTTGCTCCAGAAATGTAAGTTATTTCAATCCTTAAGGAAGGCGTGCTGATTGCCAGTAGGGGAAACAATGTGACCCCTTATTTGCTGCTGACCTCAACACTAGCCCCTATTGTACCAGAGCCAACTTGGTACCCCTGTCTCCCTCCAAGATCCAAGGTGCCTCAGGGGAGGGGCAAAGGGGAGCTCGGGTCTCATTCATGTCATGACTATGTTAAAACGAGCGGCTCTGTAGTGGCCAGACAATGAACAATTGAGGGTTGCAGCCGGTGGATCACAGCAGGGTTTGGGGATGTTAAAGGCCGCTCCAGCAGAAAGTTTGGAAAAAATGTGGCAGTGCATTGGCATTTGGACGGCTTCTGGCTCTTTTGTGGTGGGGATGGCCTTGTTTCTCCCCTCAGCTCTTATGTCTGCTTTCTCAGGACTGATGGAGGGCGCCTCATTAAATGCCACACACATTCGCCTCCTGGTGCGGCAGTGGGAGCTCGTAAAAGGATTACAGCTACCCTCTCCTCTAATGCCTCTAGGTGGGGTCACATTAAAAGGGCCCTCATGTGCAGTAAACCAGCCACCATTTGCCAGGGCGGGCCTGGGATGGTCCCAGGACAGGAGCGGGGCCCAGGGAGCTGCTCAGAGCCAGAAGTTTTGCACGTTAATGTGATGAATGTAAATGCTGCACAATTAGAATTGATTTCACTATGTTCTGATTTTAAAATTTAAAAAGGGAGCAGGATTTATGAGGAGAATAACAGGCACTCTAAGCATGAAGAAAAAAAAAAAAACAGAGAAATACTAGATAAACCAGGTGTTTACTGGCAGGAAGTGTCCTCTGGGGATCCCACTGAAATATAACTGTGTGATGTCAATACGCTGATCCTAGCCCGCAGCGATGTCTTTATCTGTGGCTCCTGTTGCAGCCCCTCTGTGAGTCTTTTTATTGATGACGGCTTTCTGGAAAGCGGCAAACGTCTGACTTGGAAAAGGTGCCATGCAAATAATTAGGAGAGGGGGGAGGGGAACTTTCTTTAGCATCAGACAGGAAATTCTGACATCCCTACCCACCTGTCCATCACCTCTGCCCTTCCAGCCAGCACTGTGCCTCGGCAGGGTGGGAACCCAGGACACCTGGGGTGAGAGTTAATCTTTTCAGGATTTTTCTGAGCCTCTCTCCTGTGGCACCCCAGAAGCTCTGCACTCCCTCATTCAGAGGCAAGCTGGTCCAGGAGGCAGCAGCTGAGATGGCCTCTCCCCCAGTTTGTTTACCATCAGGACCCCAGCTTCTGAGGGCCTCCTCAGTGGTTCAGGATGAGGCAGTTTAGCAGAGCCAAGCCAGCTGGCAGGCCTTCAGGGGGCCGAGAGGAATTTTCAAAAGGTTAGAGTTTATGACTGCTGGACCGCTTAGCCAGAGGAAATTAACTCTATTCACAAGTTGCTTCGAGAACTAGGAAAGGCCTCCTGACATTCCCTCCCAGAGTTTGCCCTATTGTCATGCCTCTCCAAGGCAGGGGGAATCCCCACCCCCTAGGCGTGGAATTTAGAGTGGGATCTCTCTTTGGTCCCTGTCATCCACAGGGGACACAAAAGACACTTAGAAAGCCCCAGGAGGCCTGGAGAACGTAGGATCCTAAAGTACCCACAGTTTCCAAGGTTCTGTTGTCCTGTAACGGACTGGAGAGAATTTTTCAATCTGATGTCCTTAAGCAAAAAGAAAAAAAAAAGTGTGTATCTCTGACATATGGCTGGGGGTGTGTGTGTGTGTGTGTGTGTGTGTGTGTGTGTGTGTGTGTGTTCTGAGTCATGTCTGACTCTGCGACCCCATGGACTAGTCCATCAGGCTCCTCTGTCCAAGAATACTAGAGTGGGTAGCCATTTTCTACTCCTGGGGATCTTAGGGGCTAAACCCACGTCTCTTGTGTCTTCTGCATTGGCAGGCAGATTCTTTACCACTGAGCCACTTGGAAAGCATGGGTGTATTCTATGGCTGAAGCTCCAATACTTTGACTACCTGATGCAAAGAGCCATCTCATTAGAAAAGACCCTGATGCTGGGAAAGATTGATGGCAAAAGGAGAAGGGAGAGGCAGAGGATGAGATGGTTAGATAGCATCACTGACTCAACAGACATGAATCTGAGCAAACCTCGGGAGACTGTGAAGGACAGGGAAGCATGGTGTGCTGCAGTCCATGGGGTTGCAAATAGTTGGACATGACTTAGTGACTGAACAACATCAACAAATCCTGTGGCTTATTTTAAATGAGGGAGAAAAACAGTTTTATCCTCTTTATGCAGAAAAATCAAGCCTGTCCATTACAACTGTTCATCCATTTATAACGGCGCCATCTTGCTGTTTGGATTATGGTCATTGTCAGAAAGTAGGCAGCCGAACACCGAATGTGGAGAAGAGATCTCAGGAAAGGGGACTATCCCTGGGGCAAGAGTTGAGTCTTGCAGATAACTACCTAAACCAAGACGTTTTTCTGCAATGTGCTAAATGAATTAAAAATTAAGAAAATAGCTCAACAGATACTCAAGTTCATGCAATGGTAAGATTGTCCATAGAAGTGAGGGGATTTTGCTGCAGTGAATGATTTCATACCAAAGGACTCTGGTATGAAAAATGCCCATGCTGTGGTTTTTCACTGTAAATTGTACAATAACTCTGCAAGCGGAAGAAGAATCTGCAAGCACAAGGCTGCTGAAGACATGGTGCATTTATCCAAAATTGAGCTGGGTCTGACCACAAAAGGTAAATCCAGTACTTCAATTGAAGAAGTGGGAGTAGGGGGCACCCCAGGTTTTCTCCGTTTGTGGATATTGTGAGATTTCAGTTTCTAAAATTTCACTGGGCCCCAGGAAAGAAAACTTGATCTTGCACTTTGGTCAGAAGACAATCAGGAAACAAAGAGACAAAAACCCCAGTTTTCCAGTGATTCCGTTTCCGATGTTACTTTTAAAATTATTTTAAAATTCCTTTCTCTGCCATGCTCATGATTTGGTGATTTGGGATCACTTAAGTCAGCAAGTTGTTTGCTTAACCCTTTTGTACGTGGACATACGTAGACTCTTGCCTAAACCACTTCATTCAGGGCAGACCTGAACCTCCCAGCCCCCAGCCTTTTGGTCCCATCTGTACCGAATCGCGGGTTTATTTCTGTTGGTATAACTCTGAGCAAAGCCCTGCCTGGTGATGTGCGGTCGAAGGCTTCCTGAGTCCTCGGCACAGTGGTGTATGTGTTTACACTTCCCCCTTCTCTCTCTTTATGAATCTGACTAGCAAACACAACTGTGTTTGTTTGGATTTCTTCAGCATGTTCTGCGTTTCTTTCATGTTCTGTGGATGACGTAACTTTGTGTATTTTCTCTCAGGGCTCCAACAGTGGAGATCTGGGTGAGGGACCTAGAAGAACGCTCATCTTCCTAAACTCCTCAGTTTTGAATTTGGCACAGCCGCCCCATCCCTGCACCTGTGTGTGCCTTATTGAGGATAAGCTGCTCTTTCCAACGGGCATGATGGCGCGTGTGAATGACTCCGGGGCCACTGGGCTCCCACCTTCTTTCTTAGAATCCCCAGAACGATTGCTATTGGCAGGGCTGTTCTCTCCTGTTGTTGCAGTAATCTCTTTCTTCCTTCCTAGGCAATCCCCATCCTTAAAGTAGACTGTCCCAATTCCCCATGCCCAAGTCACCTTCTTGGCTGCCTCTTTTGTTTCTAGGTAATCCACAGACTTGCTGCCTCATTCAAAATCCTACATCAGCCTACCCTCAAAACAGCAACGCTGAGTTATGGTGATATCTGTGTGTTTTGTCTCTTAATACAGACCCTTCAAATTTGCATGATGGATAGAGCTAACGGGGGCTTCCCTGGTGGCTCTGTGGTAAAGAATCTGCCTGTTACACAGAAAACGGGTTTGATCCCTGGATCAGGAAGATTTCCTGGAGGAGGGCATGGCAACCCACTCCAGTATCCTTGCCTGGAGAATCCCCATGGACAGAGGAGCCTGGAGGACTATAGTCCATAAGGTCACAAAGAATTGGACCCAGCTGAATAACTTAGCAGGCAGGCAGGCACAGAGCTAACATTCCCGTTTTTATGTTGATTTCTGGAGGATGTGGTGCCGTCCTTTGTGAAATACTAAGCTGGGAAGTATGAAACAGATTTGAGCTGTCATGGTCCTCCCCATTCTAGCTCTGACTGCTGGGGGCCAGCTCTCTGGAAGCCTTTGCTTGGAGCCATTTTCACGGTCAACCCAGTAGGGCTGAGTGGCAGCTTTAGCACTGGGGACCTGGCTATCTAAAGGAATTCCCAGATCCCCCGCTGGCCAAGCCACTCGATGGCTTCCTCATTTTCATATCCAGAATATGTTCTTTTTTGAAATTCATTTTTATTGGAGCATAGTTGCTTTATAATGTGTGCTAGTTTCTATTGTACAGAAAAATGAATCAGCCATACATACACATACATCCCCTCCGTTTTGGATTGCCATCCCATCCAGGACATCACAATGCATTAAGTACAAATCCATAGCATGTTATACATGCGTGCTAAGTCACTTCAGTGGTGTGCGACTCTGTATGACCCCACGGACTGTAGCCCGCCAGGCTCCTCTGTCCGTGGGATTCTCCAGGCAAGAAGACTGGAGTGGGGTGCCATGCCCTCCTCCAGGGGATCTTTCCCACCAGGCACTGAACCCGTGTCTCCTGCATTGGCAGGCGGGTTCTTGACCACTAGCACCACCTAGGAAGCGCCCATAGCATGTTACTCATACCTTGATACTTACTCTGTCTCATATTATAGTTTATACCTTTCAAGTTACGTATCTATTTACACATATTCATTCAATAACGTCAACTATGCACCTGTTACGTGCTGTCTCCCCCACCAGAACAGCACCAACACCCATTTAGAAACTTCCTTTCTATCCTCCCCCTCCCCACTGCTCCCCAGCAGATAATGGTATAATGAGCGGTCCACCCTTGCTGGGGGCACTAACAAATCTGAATCTCGCACAGGACCCAACGGAATGTGGATAAGGCTATCTGCAAGTCTCATGCCAGTTCCGAGCCACCCGACACTCAGATCGTCAGTCCCCATGACCTCAAGTACCCGGGAGCATGACCACCCATGGCAGACGGACCTTCTCAGGATTCGTGCCCTGGGACAGTCCCAGCTCCCACTCCGCCTCCACACAGTTCCTTCAGCCCCACCCCTTTGCTGGATCCTACGATCTTGTTCTCAGGCAGACAAATCGGGCAAATATTTAGACAGAGTGGATATAAAAAGTGCTTTCAGCAGCTACCACTTCCTTTCAAGAATTGTTTGGCGAAAAAGAAAATATATATGAATAGTTCCCCTCACACTGAACTCAACAGGCGCCGGGCTTGGGGTTCCTTGATGACAAGGCTGACAGCTTCCCCTTTCAGCAGACACTGCCCACGAGTTGTAAAACGTGGGCTGCTGGAGAGGGAAACACACTCCTTGATGGGGCAGGAGCCCCCGAGGAGGGGGATGGGCAGGGTTGAGGGGAGGACGGGAGGACAGGCTTCACTTAGCCTCCAGTCAATGAGCTCACACATCAGAGGGGAGGATACGCTGCTCTGAGCGCTTCCGTGGAGATGCTGAACCAGCGTCTTGTGAATCGAAGTTGTCTCTACCCAGATAGGGAGAGTAAACATTAGCCCATATTCTTATGGTCTAAAAGTAATCTAAGGGGGACCTAATGGAAAGCAAAAAGTCAACTTAAAAGTTCTCTGCTGCTTCTTCTGCTATCTTTTTTCAGGGAGTCAGCTTCTTTGGCACTTAGGAAGCGGGGATACAATGGACAGGCGTGATACAGTGGATCAGCAGGGGGAATTTCTAGGAGTCATATTTGGATCTAAAAGTACTGCATGATCCCATTGGTGGTGGGGTCACAATAAGATTTTTAGAGACTCCAAACACTGAAAAGATTATGTCCTTCTTCCCCATGTGGTTCTAAAGAAAGGCTTTTTAAATTATTAAGTAATTTGGAGGAAGTTCAACCAAGTTTTGCTTTCACCACGAAGATTACTGTGATTAAACACGCACACACACAATCAGATTTTTTCCAAATGTGTTTTTCTATCTAATAGATGCCCCTACTCTTTTGTTGTCACAAACACCCAAACAGTAACCCTGCAGTCCGCCCTCTTAAATTGGCTGGAAACTTAAATGGGCTTTTCAACTCAGACAGTCTCCAGGCTCACCTTGAGCACTCTTCCCTCCATCAGCTCTCTCAGGCTGGATAAACTGGAACCCTGACCATGTAGGTCAATCCACTGGGCTTCGTAACTATTAGGCAGACCCGATACACAGTGCCCCGTGGCCAGACGCAGGTGGCGACGGCGGAGTCCCTGCTTCTCCCCACCCACGACCACTCTGACCTGTCTTGAAGATCTCATAGCGCAAGGAGAAGCCTGCCCCCTGCCGGGCGTAGTCAGAGGTGAACTTGATGTAGAGGACCGAGCCGGAGGAGATGATGGTGGGTGGGGCGATGTTTCCACAGTGCTTTCCCAGGAGATCTGCGGATTCGCTGTCTCCATCTCGAATCTCAATGAAGTCATACCTGGGTGCAGACAGCATAACGGGGCACATATGAAAAAAGATCACTGCTAGAAGATGAAATGGACTACTGTGTCCCTCCAGCTCAGGGGCTCTCCATCCACTTCTAGACATTCAGGTGTTCTGGATGGATAAAAAAGGGCACTTAGGTTTACTTGTAGAAACTGGCAAACACAGATATAGGAAGTGGCTTTACTAAAGCCACAGAGAATGAGCACCTCTGTGCATGGCTAGACTTTAAGGCCTTATCTCTTGCTCACATAAGAGCAGTAGCATCATTCTATCAAATGTCTCAAACAGTTTTGGGTTTTTTTTTTTCCATTTATCAGTTTTTTTTCTTCGTTCAGTAGCACCATTTTTATTTCCATCGTGATCTATCTGAATCTTAGTCTCTTCTTCTTGGCTCTGTGTCTCTGCATGTTACTTAACCCCTGTGAGCATCAATTACTTCATCTGTAAGATGCAGATAAAGATATCCACTTCAGGGGGCTGGGACAGAGATGGAATGAAAAAAATGCAAGGAAGGTGCTGGGCACCAAGTCAGGCACACGGGTGTTGTTTCAGAGAGATTTATTTATTTATTTTTGCCTCTTTCCCAAGTTTCAGTTCTCTCCTGAACTGAAGGGGTCAACCCTTCTTTTCTTTAACTGTCAGTAATAAAGACTCCCCAGTCGTGGGCCATCTCCCTCCCTGAGATGCCTCTGAGAAGTTCACATCAGCAGTGTCTATCTGGTCTACACCACGTTTTTAAAAGGAATCAGCACCGTATTAGATAAGGCAATAAAAACCTTTCTCCAAAAGCAGGGGGTGAATCCCAGGGGACCCAGCTTCTTTGAACACATAACTATTAGTCTCGGCAAGAGGCTGAGCAGGCTGCCTTCCTTACCCTGAAGACTGGAGCTCATTTCAAACAGAATCAAGGTGGCCCAGGTAGGGGGAGGCACCTCAAAGACATCCTTGGCTAAGTTCACAGGACTGCACAGGTACTGTGCCATCTTATCGGTACAGATGCATACCTTCAGCTTCAGCATGTGGTCTGGCAAGCCTCACTGTCCCAAGTCTGTGGTCTTTATCCGGGCTCCTGGGGAACACCCTGTCACAGCTGCTGATGTGGAAAATTTCTTCCCTACCAGCTCTCTCAAATTGCTGGTCACTGTACCATTATTTACTCAAAGCCATCCATCTCCTTCTCCCACCCTGTTTATGTATTCTGCATCAAGCTGTTAAAACGACATGTACATTTTCTTCCACTGGGGAAAAGAGAGGGACTGGAAAGGTTATCCTCCCTGGGATGTACCCACTGGCTCCTGCCACACACATGGAGTTTGGGGGAGCTGGCGGCCTGCAAAAGTGGCCTTCTGAGCCAGAGCGGTCTGAGGCCTCCTTGCAGCCCCTGGAAGCCATACTTCAGATGGCGCAGCCATTTCCAAATAAATAGGCCTTCGAAGGGAGTATATGGAGTGGATCAGGGTTAGTTCATTCTTAGACCCCAGAGGGCTGGAATTCTACAGTCAAAAGAATCACAGAAGTTGCTTAGAGTCTGGAGAAGGGAGATGGCAGGGTTTTCCCCCAGGAGCTCTGGAGAGATGGCCACAGATTGGGAAAGGCAGTAGGGGTGGGGGAATCTGTTTAGGTCTGTGCTTTTAGTGTGGGAGACAGGGCTGACGCTAAAAGTGTGCTTCCTCAGTTCCAACACATAAGTGAAAAGACAGTTTCTTCTCAAAGGAAATCCCCCCAGACCTTCTGGAAAATCCCTCCTTGTTATTGCCACACTGAGATGAGCTCCGCTGGACAGTCACTCTCAGCTGAGTAATGGTGATGGCTTCCTTCGCAGGGTGCACGAGGCTGGAGCATGACTGTGCCCGTTGAGCAGAAGGACCCAGCTTGCCTGGGGGGCAAGAGCACCCCCATCCCACCTCACTCCGCAGGCAGGCAGAACCCAGCTCAGCCTCATCAGCTGAGTTACTCTCAGGCAAGTTACTCCACCTCTCTGAGCCTCAGAAATGGAAAAAATAAGAGCAAAATAGGGATACTAGAACCTTCCTTTCAGTTTTTCTGAAATTTAAAGGACCCACATAATCTATAGAAGGTGTCTAGGACACAGACTAGCAATGAGTGTGCACTTTGTAAGTGCACAGGGATTTGTGGTGTTTCCACACCCATTTCAGAGGGGAAAAGGCTGAGCGATAGAGCAGAAATGATTTTCCCTAAGAGAGAGAGCCAGTGAGCGAGGCGCTGTCTAAGAGGGAATGTGCATCTGCTCAAACATTTTGGAGGGCATTTTGGCAAAAATGTGACAAAAGTTAATATACACATATTCTTTAATCCAGCAATCCCACTGCTAGGAATTTTTCCTAGCAAAATAATCAGACAATTAGGCAAAGATGTATATGCATCTTTGTGTGTGTGGACATATTTTAAAAAGCATGGGAAAAGTGAAAAGATGCTTTGTTTATAAAAAGCATGTGTCTAAATGTCTGACAACAGTGGTGGGTATATCAATTTTGGACATTTATAAATGGAAAGCTCCACTGCTATAGTGAAAATGCTGTAGGTATAGGTGTGTTTTTTTTGGCTTTTAAGGAAAAATGTCCATGGTATATTATTAAGTTGAAAAACAGTAGATTGTTTTTAAAGTATGCTTTAAAATATATGTAAGTATATAAATTTCCTTGCATTTACACACAGAAAAAGCCTGAAAGACTATAGACTAAAATATTAACTGTGATGAAATATATTGACGGGGGTAATTTGTAATTTTTTGTTTTCTTCTTTTCTATTATCTGAGTTGTTTGTAATAAGTCTTCACTTCTTTAAATACATAAAGATCTTTCTATTAAGAATTTTTTTTCCCAAGTAGAAGAGTTGAGAAAAATAACCCAGCTCTCATAAATTTGCAGATAAAAAGTGCCACCATCATGATGATAACCATCATCCATAAGGGCTAAATAGCTTGTAGGAGCACCTAGAATAGTGCCAGGGACATGGCCCACACTTAATTAAAATTCTAAAACAATTTAAAAAAGACCATCACATACATCCAGTTATTGTGTTGCCAGTTTCTATAAGGACACAGAGAGGCCCTGACATCCTCCTGGCTTGTTCTTAGAAGTGGAGGGTTTTATCCGGTCGCCAAATCACCCATGGGGTCACTTAGGGGGTTAGGAGAATCAGCAATGAACCAAGAGTACCCAAAACATGTCACTGCTGCAAACTTGCCTCAATTTACTCAACAGATAAATCACCTAAATCCTTTTGGGTAACATGGCTAGCTGTAAATACATCCTCACATATCTACATACACATCAGTGAAGGGAGGCATTTTTGAAAAAGGTTCACACAAATCAGTCATATCACACAGCTTCTCTCTCAGCCTGTTATTTAAAGGACCCTCTGGTGAATCCTTTTGTAAAGCAAATAATCAGCCCTTCCTTGAACTTCTCAGCAAAACTGGATTTTTCTATCAGGTTTACTTGCGGGGAAAACGACCCAGAGTTACCATCTGGCAGCTAAAATTCCCCTTCCCTTCAGCGTCTGGGGATCTGCCCTGTGAACCAACTCCAGCTCACCACCAGGTCTTCTGGCTGGGCTTTTTTGTCTAAAGGGCATACTCCAAATGACATGCTGACTCCACATAGAATGTCTCATTTACCTCCTGTGAGACTGACTCATTTGGGGAAATTTTTTATTATTAGGGATTTGCTACAGCTGGAGTAAATCTCTCTAGAAATTTCAGTGTTGTCAGGTTCCTTTATGAAGAGCTAGCAGAGACTTAGGAAGTTGTGGCCTTGGAATAAATATGACTTTGCATCTGGCATCTAATACCCAGTGTTTGTTGGGTAAATGAATCTGGGCTGCAAACTTGGAGCTCACCCCAATGGTAGTCAAGTAGGATAACCTGAAAAGCCATTCCTCTTATCCATTTTCTGGAAGGAAACAGACACAAGCTCACAGACATATTAACTATTGTGTTTGCATTTCATTATTCCTAATCTCCCTCAAATGAAAAAATTCCTTTCAAAGCTTTAACACTACCTTTTCAAATTTTATTTATTTATTTACTTTCCTAAGCTGAAGTAGCCATCTCTATGCCAGTTCTTTTTTTTTTTTCCCTTCCTCCTCTCTAAAATGGTTCCCTAAGTACCTTTTTACTTTTCTTTTCACAGATCTCGACATCTGCATGTTGAGCATTTGTCTAGAGAATGCTTTTTTGTACTTTCTCTCTCATCTTCAAAATCTTCATTCCTCTCCCCAAACCCACATTTGGGGCGTGAGAATGTTGACGGTGGAATTAATTTTAAGAGTCCACAGGAGAGATATGAAAAAGCATCAGTCTCATCTCTTCTTCGCATCACTAGGCAAACATGCAAAGACTTTTTCCATAACTCTCTCCACACGTGACGCTGCCCAGCAGGCCACCAAAGGCTGGGTCAGCCGACCGAGTCTGTGCTGGAAAATTCACCACGTGGAGGCCCTTCTACCAGGGCTGGATGACGAGTGGCTCCATCCAGAGTCTACCTTTGTGGACACCACACAGAACTGCCTGTGAGGGGATTTCTATGATGTGGGCAGAGTCCTTAGCTGCTCCAAGGAAGAATGCTGTGTCCATTCTATGGGATTTGTCTATATGGCTGAGCACCTATGAGCCCAAGTCCTGAAGCCATAACCTTTGCCAACCAGGCGATGCCTCCTCTCATGCTACTTGCATCATGAAATGTCTAAGCCATCACGTTTTGTACATGGAAAGTTCTTTCCAGCCCCTGGGCCTTTGCACTTGCTCTTCCCTCTGTCTGCAACACTCTTTGTTAGCTTTCGCTCTGGCTGGTACCTTCTCATTCTTTTGAGTGCAAATGTCACCTCCTCGGAGAAGTCTGCCCTGACCATCCCATTTCATCTGGCATGGCCTTATTCTCTACCCCACCTGCTTTCATCACCTTTATGGCTGTTATCGTAATCTGGAAAGGTCTTGTCAATATACTTTATTTATTTAGGATACGGGGCCCG